TACAATAAATTTTAGCATAAAATTGACCGTTCTTATTACATTCTGCAAAGTACTAGAAGAAATTAAACGCTAAGCTTTTTCTTATTTCTTTTTTTAGAGACTGGGTCTTGCTATATTGCCAAGGCTGGGGTGCAATGGCTATTCACAGGTGCAAACACGGCACACTACAGCCTGGAACTCCTGGGCTTAAGCGGTCATCCCACCTCAACTTCCCAAGCAGCTGGGACTACAGGTGTGCACCACCATGCCCAGCTAAAGCTCTAAACATTTTAATCCTGTGAGTTAAATCACTGTTGTATTAACCAGGAAAAATAAAAGAATATTATCTGGAGGAGTGACATCAGCAAAACAGCAGACCAGGAGGCTCCAGGCCCTCATTCACTCAAAGAAAAATTGAAGAAAAATAACTAGAGACTAGCCACATTAACTTTATTAAAGAGCTGGAAAACAAAGTTCTACAGTCATTGAGCAAATGCCTACTGAAGAAGCCACATTCAAAATGTCTGTAATTTCATTTCATTTTTATTCACTCTTCTTTCCCCTGCTTCCCAGCCTGGTGGAGCCTTGGGCTGGAGGAAGCAGTGGCCAAAGTTTCCAATTTCCTCCCTCTGAAAGAAGTGGAGCAGATCTAATTTGCAACATTTTAACCTGTCTGAGGACTGCCTGAGGACTGGTCTCTGCATTGCCTAACTCGGAGCTCAGAAGGCAAAAACCACCACAGCTTGGCTCCCAGGCTAGGACAAGGGCACAAGAAGCAGGAAGCAACAGTGAGAGCTACGGTTAAGAATACAGACCCACAGACACTTAGGGCAAGAGACTGCAGGCAGAGGAATACAACAGAATACCTAAGGTCCAGCAGCCAAGGTGAGAGTCTTGGGGAAATTAAGAAAATTAAAAGCTACCATCTGTACTGGGAATTGAAAAGCATACACACAGGCCCCGGTAAGACACATACCCAGAAAAGGGCCTAGCAAGGCCTTAAGCCTTCACTTCACAGTGAGCTATCCCAAAGCTCAGCTTGTTAATAAAGCTCAGCTGATCCCAAAGGTCCTTCCCAACACAAAGCCATTCTAGAAAGACAGAAGGAAGTGGTTATTTTTTTTCAAATGCCTAATTTTCAATTTTAAAAAAGCACACAACATACAAAAGACAAAAGAGGAAAACATGGCCCATTGAAATGAAGAAAATAAGGCAGTGGAAACTATCCCTGAAGAAACATAGGCACTGGATGTACTAAACAAAGATTTTACCACGAGTCTTAAATATGCTCAAAGAGGTAGAGGAAAAATGGACTAAGAAGAAAATCAGGAAAATGATTTAACAACAAAATGAGAATAATGGCAAAGAGATAGAAAATATAAAATGGAACCAAACAAATTCTAGACCTGAAAAACACAACTAAATGAAAAATGCTACTATATTTTCAAAAATATATTACAGGAGCTCAATAGCAAACTCAAACGGGTAAAAGAAAGAAAAAGAAAATCTAAAGACAGGTCATTTAAAACTACTGAATCTGAGAGGCAAAAAGAAAAAAGAATGAAGAAAAGTGAACAGAGCCTAAGAGGCTTATGGGGCACAAATATACATGTTAGGAGAGTTCCAGAAGGAGAAGAGAGAAAGAGGAAGATATTATTTGAAGAAATAGCAGAAAATTTCTCAACTTTGGGAAAATACACAAATTGACAAATCCAAGAAATTCAACAACTCAAAGCAGGATAAAACTAGAGACCCACACCAAGACATATTCAAACTGTCAAAAGACAGAATCATTTAAGTACTGAGAGAAGTGACCCATCATATACAAAAGATATCCAGTACGATTATCAGCACATTGTTCAGCAGAAACCTGGGAGCCCAAAGGCAATGTGAGGATATATTTAAACTGCTGAAAGGGAAAAACAAAACAAACAAAAACAACCTGTCAGCCAAGAATTCTGTATGTTCCAAAACTCGAACTAAAAATAAGACAAATTAACGTCCTCTGTTACTATTTGAATACTCTTTCTTTGTTTCTCTTGCCTGATTGCCGTGGCCAGAACTTCCAATACTATGTTGAATAGCAGTGGTGAGACAGGGCATCCTTGTCTTGTGCTGGTTTTCAAAGGGAATGCTTCCAGCTTTTGCCAATGCAGTATGATATTGGCTGGGGTTTGTCATAAATACTTCTTATTTATTTTGAGATATGTTACATCAATACACAGTTTATTGAGAGTTTTTAGCACAAAGGGATGTTGAATTTTATCAAAGGCCTTTTCTGTATCTATTGAGACGATGATGCGGTTTTTGTCATTGGTTCTGTTTATGTGATGGATTATGTTTACTGATTTGCATATGTTGAACCAGACTTGCGTCCCAGGGATGAAAGTGACTTGATCATGGTGGATCAGCTTTTTGATATGCTGCTAGATTCGGTTTGCCAGTATTTTATTGATAATGTTCACATTGATGTTCACCAGGGATATTGACCTCAAGTTTTGACTTTTTTTGTTGTGACTCTGCCAGGTTTTGGCATCAGGATGATGCTGGCCTCATAAAATGAGTTAAGGAGGAGTCCCTCCTTCTCAATTGTTTGAAATAGTTTCAGAAGGAATGCTACCAGCTCCTCTTTTTATCTCTGGTAGAATTCGGCTGTGAATCCGTCTGGTCCTGGGGTTTTTGTTTAGTAGGATATTAATTCCTCAATTTCAGAACTTGTTATGGGTCTATTCAGGGATTCAACTGAAGACAACATGATTCTGTATTTAGAAAACCTCATCATCTAAGCCCAAAAACTTATTAAGCTGATAAGCAACTTCAGCAAAGTCTCAGGATATAAAATCAATGTGCAAAAATCACAAGCATTCCTATACACCAACAATAGACAAGCAGAGAGCCAAATCGCAAATGAACTGCCATTCACAATTGCTACAAAGAGAATAAAATGCCTAGGAATACAGCTAACAAGGGATGTGAAGGACTTCTTCAAAGAGAACTACAAACCATTGCTCAAGGAAGTAAGAGAGGACACAAACAAATGGAAAAACATTCCATCTTCATGGATAGAATCAATATCTTGAAAATGGCCATACTGCCCAAAGTAATTTATAGGTTCAATATTATTCCCATCAAACTACCACTGACATTCTTCACAGAATTATAAAAAACGACTTTAAATTTCATATGGAACCAAAAAAGATCCTGTATAGCCAAGACAAACCTAAGCTAAAAGAACAAAGTTGGAGGCATCACGCTACTTGACTTCAAACTATACTACAAGGCTACATTAACCAAATCAGCATGGTGCTGGTACCAAAACATATAAACAAATGGAACAGAATAGAGACCTCAGAAATAACACCACACATCTACAGCCATCTTCTCCTCAACAAACTGTACAAAAACAAGCAATGGGGAAAGGATTCCCTATTTAATAAATTGTGCTGAGAAAACTGGCTAGCCATATGCAGAAAACTGAAACTGGACACCTTCCTTCCATCTTATACAAAAATTAAGTCAAGATGGATTAAAGACTTAAATGTAAAAACCAAAACCATAAAAACCCTAGAAGAAAACCTAGGCAATCACACAGGCATGGGCAAAGACTTCTTGACAAAAATGCCAAAAGCAATTGCAACAAAAGCCAAAATTGACAAATGGGATCTAATTAAACTAAAGACCTTCTGCTGAGCAAAAGAAACTATCATCAGGGTGAACAGGCAAACTACAGAACAGGAGAAAATTTTTGCAATCTACCCATCTGACAAAGGTTTAATATCCAGAATCTATAAGGGACTCAAACAAATTTACAAGAAAGAAACCAATACCCCCATCAAAAAGTGGGCAAAGAATATGAACAGATACTTCTCAAACGAAGAAATTTATGTGGTCAACAAACATATGAAACAACACTCATCATCACCGGTCATTAAAGAAATGCAAATCAAAACCATAATGAGATACCATCTCACACCAGTCAGAATGGCAATTATTAAACACTCAAGAAACAGTAAGATAAGGGTGAGACTATGGAGAAATAAGAATGCTTTTGCACTGTTGGAGGGAATGTAAATTAGTTTGACAATGTGGAAGACAGGGTGGCGATTCCTCAAGGATCTAGAACCAGAAATACCATTTGACCCAGCAATCCCATTACTGGGTATATAACAAAAAATATACATAAATCATTCTACTACAAAGACACATGCTGTATGTTTATTGCAGCACTATTTACAATAGAAAAGACATGGAACCAACCCAAATGCCCATCAATGATAGACTGGATAGAGAAAATGTGGTACATATATACCATGGAATACTATGCAGCCATAAAAAGGAATGAGATCGTGCCCTTTGCAGGCATATGGATGAAGATGGAAGCCATCATCCACAGCAAACTAATGTGTCCAGAATTGGTGGGTTCTTGATCTCACTGACTTCAAGAATGAAGCTGCAGACCCTTGCAGTGAGTGTTACAGTTCTTAAAGATGGTGTGTCTGGAGTCTGTTCCTTCAGATGTTCAGAGGTGTTTGGAGTTTCTTCCTTCCAGTGGGTTCGTGGTCTTGCTGGCTTCAGGAGTGAAGCTGCAGACCTTTGTGGTGAGTGTTACAGCTCTTAAGGCGGAGCGTCTGCAGTTGTTGGTTCCTCCTCTCCAGAGTTATTCATTCCTCCCGGTGGGTTCGTGGTCTCTCTGGCCTCAGGAGTGAAGCTGCAGACCTTCACAGTGAGTGTTCACAGCTCATTAAGGCGGCGTGGACCCGAAGAGTGAGCAGCAGCAAGATTTATTGCAAAGAGCGAAAGAACAAAACTTCCCCAGGGTGGAAGGGCACCCGAGCGGCTTGCCCCTGGCTGGCTCGGGCAGCTTGCTTTTATTCCCTTATCTGGCCCCACCCATATCCTGCTGATTGGTCTGTTTTACAGAGAGCTGATTGATTGATCCGTTTTGACAGAGTGCTGATTGGTGTATTTACAATCCTTTAGCTAGACGCAGAGTGCTAGATAGAAAAGTTCTCCAAGTCCCCACTAGGTTGGCTAGATACAGAGTAGTGATTGGTGTATTTACAAACTTTGAGCTAGATACAGAGTGCTGATTGGTGTATTCACCAACCCTGAGCTAGTCCCAGAGTACTGATCGGTGCCTTTACAATCCAGTGCTAGACAGAAAAGTTCTCCAAGTCCCCACTAGGTTAGCTAGACACAGAGTAATGATGGGTGTATTTACAATCCCTGAGCTAGACATAAAGATTCTTCAAGTCCCTACTAGACTCGGGAGCCCAGTTGGCTTCTCCTAGTGGATCCCGCACCAGGGCCGCAGGCGGAGCTGCCCACCAGTCCCCCGCGGTGCGCCCGCACTCCTCAGCCCTTGGGCAGTCGATGGGACCCGGCGCTGTGGGGCAGGGGGCGGCGCTCGCTGGGGAGGCTTGGGCCGCGCAGGAGCCCAGGGCGGGTCGGGAGGGGAGGCTCGGGCATGGCGGGCTGCAGATCCCGAGCCCTGCCCCGCAGGGAGGCAGCTGACGCCCGGGGAGAATATGAGCACAGTGACGGCAGGCCAGCACTGCTGGGGGACCCAGCGCACCCTCTGCGGCTGCTGGCCCCGATGTTAAGCCCCTCACTGCCCGAGGCCGGCGGTGCCAGCCGCTCTGAGGGGCCCGCGGGGCCCACGCCCACCCCGAACTCGCGCTGGCCTGCGAGCGCCCGCACAGCCCCGGTTCCCGCCTGTGCCTCTCCCTCCACACCTCCCGGCAAGCAGAGGGAGCGGCTCCAGCCTGGGCCAGCCCAGAGAGGGGCTCCTACAGCACAGCGGCGGGCTGAAGGGCTCCTCAACCGCAGCGAGAGTGAACGCGGAGGCTGAGGAGGCGCCGAGAGTGAGGGCTGCTAGCATGTTGTCACCTCTCACTAACACAGGAACAGAAAACCAAACTGCATGTTCTCACTCGTAAGTGGGTGTTGAACAGGGAGAACACATGGACACAGGGAGAGGATCAACACACACTGGGGCCAGTTGAGGTGTGGGGGGCGAGGGGAAGGAGAGCATTAGAACAAATAGCTAATGCATGCAGGACTTAAAACCTAGTTGACAGGTTGATAGGTGCAGCAAACCACCATGGCACATGTAAACCTATGTAACAAACCTACACATTCTACACTTGTATCCCAGAACTTAAAGTAAAATAAGATGAAAAAGAAGGACAAATTAAGATATTCTCAGATCCACAAAAGCTGAGAGTTCATTACCACCAAACATACCCTACAAGAAATGCTAAAGGGTATGGAAATGAAAGGACACTAGACAGTAACTTGGAGCCACATGGAAATACAAAGTTCTCTGGTAAAAGTAAATACATGGACAAATATAAAAACCAGGGTTATTGTAATTTTGGTCTGTAACTCCACTTTGTATTATTCCAACGGACTTAAAAGACAAATGCATAAAAGAATCTTAAGTGCATGTTAATGGACACACAATATACGAAGACATAATCTATGACAACAATAACAGTAGGGGATGGAGCTGTGAAAGTCGTTTTTGTATGACATTCATGTTAAATTGATATTAATTTAAAATCTATTGCTTTAAGAAACAATAGATTTAGGAAATTATGTGTAATGCTCAAGGTAACAACAAAAGAAATCTATAGACTATACACAAAAGTACACGAGGAGGGAATCAAAACATGTCATTACAGAAAAATCCACTTAGCACTAAGAAAGTAATGGACGATATGAAAAACAAAAAAGCTATAAAAAAAAAACAGAAAACAACTAACGATGACCAAAATAAATCCTTTCCTACCCATAATTATATTAAATATAAACAGATTAAACTCCCTAATCAAAAGTTGTAGGTTGGTAGAAATGGAATAAAACATAAAAAAAGAATCCAACTATATTTTGTCTAAGAGAGACCAACTTTGGTTCTAAGGACACATACATGTTGAAAGTGAAAGTATGGAAAATACTATTTGTAATATTCCATGCAAATAGTAATGAAAAGAGAGCAGTGGTGGCTATACTAATATTAGGCAAAATGGACATTAAGTTAAAAAACTATTATAAGGGACAAAAAACAATATTGTATATTGATAAAATGGTTAATATAAGAAGTTATAACAATTATAAACATATAGACCAAACATGAGAGCTCAAAAATATCTAAGGGTATATGGACACGATTGAAAGACAGAAAATTAGAGAGCTTTCCAATGACAGTAAGAGACTTCAATATCCTACTTTGAATAACAGATTCAAACTAGACAAAAAATCAAATAGAGGACTTGAACTACAGTATAGACCTATAGAACAATTATAACCTAACAGATACATACAGAACCCCATCACACAAAAATATACGTGCAGAAGACATTTTCCTCAAGTGCACATGGAGCATTCTCCAGGATAAACCATTTGGTAAGCCACAAAACAAGTCTTGATAAATAAAAAATACTGAAATAATACAAAGTTATCTTTCCAATCACAATGGAATGAAAGCAATACCAAAAGAAAAACCGGAAAATTTACAAATTTGTGGAAACTAAACAATACACTCTAAAACAACCAATGGCTCAAAAAAGAAATCACAAGGGTATTAGACAATATTTTGAGACAAATGAAAATGAAAACATACATACCAAAACTTATGAAATGCAGGAAAAGCCATGCTAAGAGGGAAATTTACAGCTAGAAACATTTATATTAAAAAGAAGAAAGATCTCAAATCAACAACCTAACTTCACACATTAAAGTACTAGAAAAAGAACAAATTAAACTCAAAGCTAGCAGAAAAAAGGAAATAGTGAAAATTAGAATAGGCCTAAATTGAATGTAGAAAAACAAGAAAGAAAATCAACTAAACCAGCTGGGCGCAGTGGCTCACGCCTGTAATCCCAGCACTTTGGGAGGCCGAGGCGGCTAATCACCTGAGGTCGGGAGTTCAAGACCTGCTTGACCAACATGGAGAAATTCCGTCTCTACTAAAAATACAAAATTAGCCAGGGTGGTGGAGCATGCCTGTAATCCCAGCTACTCGGGAAGCTGAGGCAGGAGAATTGCTTGAACTCAGGAGGCAGAGATTGTGGTGAGCTGAAATTGTGCCACTGCACTCCAGCCTAGGCAACAACAGTGAAACTGCCTCAAAAAAAAAAAAAAAAAACGAAAAAAAAAAAAGAATATCAACCAAACCAAGAGCTGTTTTTAGAAAAGATTTTAAAAAGTCAAACCTTTAGCTAGACTGACTAAAAACAAGATTCAAATTACTGAAATCAGAAATTCATGTGGGGATATGACACCAATTTTACAGAAATAAAAGACAGTACCATGAACAATCTCATGTCAACAAGTTTTATATCTAAATGAAATGAACAAATTACTAGAAACACACAGCCTATCAAGACTGAATCATGGCCGGGAGCGGTGGCTCATGCCTGTAATCCCTGCCCTTTGGGAGGCCAAGGCGGATGGATCACGAGGTCAAAGAGATCAAGACCATCCTGGCCTACATGATGAAAACCCATCGCTACTAAAAATACAAAAATTAGCTGGGCGTGGTGGTGCATGCCTGTAGTCCCAGCTACTCAGGAGGCTAAGGCAGGAGAATCACTTGAACCCGGGAGGTGGAGGTTGCAGTGAGCCGAGATCATGCCACTGCACTACAGTCTGGGCGACAGAGCCAGACTCCATCTCAAAAAAAAAAAAAAAAGACTGAATCATGAAGAAACCGAACACCTGAATAGACCTTAACTAGTAGAGGGGCTGAATCAGTAATCAAAGCCTCCCATGAAAGAAAAAACAAGGACAAGGTGTCCCCACTGGTGACTTCTTCCAAATACTTAAGAAGGATTAACATAATTCTTCTCAAACTATTCTGAAAAACTAAAGAGGAAGGAACATTTTCTAACTTATTCTATGAGACCAGCATTACCCTGATACCAAAGCTAGACCAAGACATTATAAGAAAACTTCAAGTCAATATTTCTTATTAATATTAATACAAAAATCCCCAACTAAATCCTAGCAAACCAAACTCAGCAGCATATTAAAAGGATTATACAACATGATCAAGGGAAATTTGTTCTTGGAATGCAAGGAGTTCGGCATGTGAAAATCAATCAACGTAACATATCACATTAACAGAATGAAGAACAAACACCATGTGATCATCTCAATTGACGCGGAACATCATTTGACAAAATTCAACACCGTTCATGATTTTTTAAAAAACATTCAATAAACTAGGACTAAAATTACCTCAACATTATGAAGGCCATGAATGAAAAATTCACAACTAACACCATACTCAAAAGTGAAAGACTAAAAACATTTTCTCTGAGATAAGGAATAAGACAAGAAAGTCCACTTTCGTCATTTCTGTTCAACACAGTACATGTCCTAGCCAGAGCAATCAGGCAAGAAAAAGAAGTAAAAGACATCCAAATTGAAAAGAACAAAGTAAGTCATCTCTGTTCACAGATGACATGATCTTCTATGTAGAAAACCCGAAAGATTCCCTTTTTTAAAAAAAGTTTTAGACCTAAGGAACATAAAATGTAAACAAGGCTGCCACAAACAAAATCAACATGCAAATATCAGTTGCATTATTATACACTAACAGTGAAAAATCCTAAAAGGAAATTTTAAAGTAATTCCTTTTATAACAGTGTCAGAAATAATAAAATATTTAGGAATAAACCTAACCAAAGAAGGAAAAGATTTGGGCACTAAAAACCACAAGTATTGATGAAAGAATTAAAGAAGACACCAAAGGAATGGAAAGACATTCCATGTTTATGGATTGGAAAATAATATTTTTAAGATATCAGTACTGCCTGAAGTGATCAACAGATTCAATGTAATTCCTGTAATTCCTATCAAAATTCCAACAATATTTTTTGCAAAATAGAAAAATCCATTCTAAAATTCATATGAAATATCAAAGGACCCTGAACAGTCAAACAATTTTAGGGGGAAAAAAAAAAAACAAAGTTGGAGGACTCACAATTCCTGATTTCAAAACTTGCTAGAACAAGACTGCAATAATCAAAACAGTGTGATACTGGCATAAAGATAGACATATATACCAATAGAATAGAATAGACAGCCCAGAAAATAAAACTTCACAGATATGATCCAACAATTTTTGACAAGGGTGTCAGGGCCATTCAATGGGAAAGAATAGTATTCAACAAATGGGCTGGGAAAAACTGAATATCTAAACGCAAAAGAATGAAGTTGGACCCTTGTCCTACAACATGTATAAAAATTAACTCAAAATGGATGAAAAACCTAGATACGAAAGCTAAAATTATAAAACTCTTAGGAGAAAACAAAGGCGGAAAGCTTTATGACACTGGATATGGAAACAACTTCTTTGATTTGACACTGAAAGCACAGGCAAAAAAAGAAAAAATAGAGAAACTGAGCTTCATCAAAATTAAGAAATTTTGAGCATCCAAAGACATATGAAGAAAGTGAAAAGACATCCTGTAGAATGGGAGAAAATACCATCAAATCATATATCTGATTATGGTTTAATATTCAGAATTTATAAAGAACTACTAAAGCTCAACAGCAGCAAGACCCAAATAAAATATGAGCAAAGGACTTGAATAGACATTTCTCCAAAGAAGATACACAAATGACCAATAAGCACATGAAAAGGTGCTCAACATCACAAATCACTAGGGAAATGCAAATCAAAAACAAATTAAGGTGGCTACTTTAAAAAAATAGAAAGTCAGCAAGAATGTGGAAAAATCGAAACCCCGTGAATTGCTGGTAGGAATGTAAAATGGTG